ATGGGTCAGACTGGGTTGACCCTAAAGATAGGTCCACAGATCAGGTTGGCCCTCAAGAGGGTTTATGGGTCGGGTTTGGTTGACCCTAGAGAAGGATTTGGGGGACGGTTGGGTTGGGTTGACCCCAGAGAGGGGTCACAGGGCAGGCTGACCCCGGTGAGGGGTGAGCCTGGTCCTAAACGGGGGTTTATGGGTCGGGTTGACCCCAGAAGTGGTTGCTGGGTAAGGTAGGGTTGACCCGCCCCGGGGTGGGGTGGGGTGGAGGACCTCCCCTGCTCCTCTCTGGACCTGGGGATGGGTCATATGGGGGGTTCCACAGGGGGGGCAGAGGTGACTCCAGCCCATTCCACCGCGTCCCTGAGGCGATGCCATTACCCACCCAACTAACCCGCTAACCACCCATCTAACCAGCTAACCACCACCCATCCAGCCAGCTAACCAACCACCCCAACAGTTAACCGCCCAACCAGGTAACCACCGCCCATCCACCCAGATAACTACCACCCATCCAAACAGTTAACCACCCACCCAACCAGCTAACCAAACGCTCATCCGTTCAGCTAACCACCCACCCAACCCCCTAACCAAACACCCATCCGACTGGCTAACCGATCGCCCAATCGCCTAACCATCCACCCAATCAGCTAAGCAGCCACCCATCCAACCCGGTAACCACTCGCTCAAACAGCTAACTGCTCCTCCGACCAGCTAACCAGTCACTCAGCCAGCTAACCAGCTACCCACCACCCATCCAACCAGTTAACCGACCGCCCAGCCACTCAAACAACTAACCAGCTGCCCATCCAAACAGCTAAGCAACCAACCAGCTAACTACTGCCCACCCAGCCAGCTAACCAACCGGCCGACCGCCCAACTAACCAGCTAACTACCCACCCAACCAGCTCCCAACCCATCCGACCGCCCATCTAACCGCCAGCCATCCAACCAGCTAACCAACCGACCACCTAACTAACCCGAGAACTGCCAGCCCGCTAACCAACCCATCGCCCAGTTAACCAACCAGCCCATTGCCCACCTAACCAGCTAACCAACCCATCCATCGCCCAGCCCGCCAACCCAGCTGATCACCCATCCAGCTCACCGCCCACCCAACTAACCAACCACCCATCCAACCAGCTAACTAG